AGCAGCTTTGTGGGCCTTGCTTACAATGCCATAGCCTGTAACCTGGAAATGTTTCTTGGTCAAGGGAGCCTCATGTAGGTGACTGTGAAGGTTGCGAGTTGTTCTGAAGTGACCAGAATAAAAACGACATTATAGAAGGCAGAAGAAGATCTAGATTAGGATTACAGTTAATCATTTAGTTGGGATTAATCGATACTCACTCTTTGTGTTGCAATCGAATAATGTCACCATGACGAACTAGGTCAGGGTTCCCAGATTGATCTTAACAGAGATAAAGAGTACCAAGGGCAAAAAAAAAAAAAAAAATCACTTTATTATAATGTTATGGGCATTTATGAATAGTAAATCAATCTATCTTCTCACATTTACTGTCATCCTGTCTGTGCACCAGCCACAAGTTGTTATAGTCTTTATGGAGGTAGGCTGTCACCTGTAAGCACACAGCAGAGAACATTTTACTCACATGAGCACATTTAATTATATTTGAGGATAATTTGATGATAAAACCTGACGCCTGACCTGCTGCTGCCGCGCTCCCACTCCCTCTGGGTATAAGTGAAAGTGAGAGTGCAAATAGCCTCCAGCAATACGGAGGTTTTTCACCGTAATAATGGAGCCATATGCCAGGTCTAGATCAGAACAAAAAACAAAATATTGTGTCACATCAATGTAACACAAGAAACAAATACATTTTGTGGAATATATCTTCTGAAACATCACTAAAAGTGACAAAGAGCCCCTGCCCAAGATAATTATGCCTTAATATTTAAACCCTGATATGATACTTTGGAAAGACAGTAAACTGTAAGCAAGCATTGCAACCCATGTGGCTGTCATCAATAATAAATGAAGGCCTACATTTCCCTTTAACCTCCTTTTTTCAATGTCTTATTAGTGTTTCATTAAACATAGCTGCAGCATCATGAAGTTTTATCCACATGTTTTTGGGACTCACACTCAGGTATGGATGCATTGTGTAAGTTGTTCCCAATTAGCCGTGACTGAAAGGCAGAACTAAAGAAACCATCTCCTGGTCCACTGGGGGAAAGAAAAAACAACCATGAAGAGCCAAACAATGCAGTGGACACTATCACACAGAGCAGGAATCACACTTTATCAGTAACTGAACATTCAGATTCACCTTTTGTTCAATACAAAAAAGTGGACTGCAAATATTGTAACATAGAGGAGGAGTGGAAGCAGGATAAGTCCAACAACTCGAGCCAAGAAGTGCATGGCTATGTCCACCTGTAGCCAGAAAATAAATGAGAAGTCAAACTTGTAGCATTACTAATCAACAATACCAGTGACTAGTATTAAAAACAAGAGCACTGAGAGCACATGTATCTCCACTAAGGCACAACATTCACTCACACAAACGGGTCCAAAATATGTCCCTAAAGCCTTGATCTGGATCAGATCCAGATCATCTTTAGGGTTTGATAGGCAGTTATACTGCCTATCAAACCTATGCTTCTTACCTGAACATTTCAGGGTTCTATCTTCATTATCGGTCAAGTTATGGCAGAAAATATGCGTTAAATGGGGTTTTCAATGTTAACTTTAAATGGCTGTCAGATCCAGAATCTGGATCAGATCCAGATGAAGTTTGGTCTGGTGATTCCATACATAAAGTATTTTCATAACTTTTGATGGAGACATTATTTTTTAGAAATTTTGCCCCATGTTCAAGATGAGAATTTTTGTGATTTTATTCATTTTTTGTAATCTTGATCTTTGACCTTTTTCAGCCAAAATTTAATCACTTCTAGGGTTGGTCCCCACCAATGTCTGTACCAAGTATGCTGATGATCCATCCAGCCATTTGTCTGTAATCCTGCTAACACACACACACACACACACACACACACACACACACACACGCACACACAC